ATTAAGAAAAGCATGTAAAACTAGATTAAAATATGGCACATACATAATTGTATCACATATTTATTAAGATATTAAATATAATTCTTAATAAATATGTGGATTTCAAGTTTAAAATGAGGAATAACAGTGAGATTCCTAATGCAGGGGCAATTTGTTTGAAATCTAGGTACACTGAGGGAAATTCACCTTAAAAATATTTATCTAGTCTTTCGTATATTTAGCAGATATTGTTCAATCAGATTTAAGTGAAAAATCTTATGGTGGCCAATTTGCTAAATCCTCCAAAACCAGAAGCTTCCAGCTCACCTTTAACACGCATGACAGTTCGCTACCTGACATCACCAAGAAGCCCCGGTATCTTTGCATAAGCAGGTCCCTAATGAAAAATGATGCAATGAAATTATTTGGCATGATTTTTAATGAAGTGAGCAAATGTCCTTCTTTGTCTAATCAAGCCCATACAGTGCAGATTAATCATCATCCATTTAACATGAATTCATACTTATCAATCATTTGCATTAAACTGAGAAAAATTCCTTTCTGCTTCATTTAGGATGTGAGAAACGTTCATAAGTCATATACAATAGCATCTGTAGCATACACAGGCAGAGAGTATTGCTTCACTGTATTACGAATGCATAAAGACCACGACTGATGAAAGCAAACCTCCATAAAGGACTAGCAATCTGACTTCAGTCATGAAATATACACCAAATACTATGGCAAGCTGAATTCACAAATCTGATTCAAGTCAGAAGTCCCAGAATATTTTGTTCCCAGAACAAAAATTCCTCATATTTGCCTGCTCTTCCACTGGAGAACATGGCAGTCAATGAGACCTCTCAGGCTGGTAACAAGAAAGATATTTGGAACGATTTCATATGCAGCCTAGTTTACCTGCATGTAGCCATTCATTTGAAAATGCTAAACAAATCAGAAAAAGCTATTTCACATACATATTTAAAACTTGCACCAATCATAATTCCATCTTGAAACAAGTAAGTGTTAATCAACAAAATCTCCAGACTGAATATTAATTAATGGTATTTTCCATGCATGCTATGTCGCAGGTTTCTGACAGGTAATCCAGTCGCAAATACACTGTAGGAATGAAATTAGTGTTCTGAATTAAAAGGTTTAGACACAGTCTTGTCATTGAGTGAAGGAAATGGAAGATTTGCTTGCATTCTTTCTTCTATGTGCTCAAATTTCCTAATACTACAAGACTTTAAATTTGGGAATTTTGACCCATAGAACAGCTAGAGTGTTATCTAGCTGCATTGTTCTGCAGCAGGTGGTTCACACAGTGCTTCATTCTATAAATGTTGTACGTTGTTAAAAGCATGGTGCAGTTTGAGTAGTGTAAGTGAAGGAGCTACTTGTTAGCCTTAGAAATTACTGAACCCGCCCCAAATTGTTCTATGTTTATAGCTAATACCCATAGACTTTAGAGCCACAAGGAAAAGAGATGTAACTCTGGGTTTTAAAATCTTTCCAGCTTGAATAAAGAAATAACTATTTATAAATATACAATAATAAAAAATATTGTCTGAAATAACAGAATCTCAAATCTTCAAAACTGAGGGGGAAAACAGAGAGATTGATCCTGCCTGGATTGATGGGGAAAAGGCATTAGCTAAATTTTTTAACGACTTTTCCTCTACTAGGATTTGAGAGGAAAGATCAGGAGGCTGTTTGTGCCAGCAGGACTGGCGGTGAAGTCGATGGATATAAACAACATTCACCATGGCCTGAAACCTCGGTCCTTCTGATATTTAAAATGAATGATATTTTGCACAAAATTACAACAAAAGTTAGCTTTCTCAATGACTGCCCTAAAGAGGACAGTATCTTGTATTTTCGTATGTCTAGGATTCTAATGTATATCTCTTTTCACAGATGCATTAATATGAGGGATGATGGGGTTATAGTGACTAGTGACATGAACTACTACTGCTGTCTTAAGCTGGCACACTTCATATTCAGAAATTTGAGACCATAACTCTTAATGTGAATAGCTAACCAGTAGTTTTCAGCTCATGTAGAAAGGTTAGAGGAGCATAGTTTCACTTCAGGTTACTAATCTGAACCCTGGAGTGCTTTCTAGTCACATTTCTCCATTTAATTTAACTCAGTGATCTGGTGAATAGCCCGAGGATTGATTTTTCTCTATTTGGTGGAGGAAGAGATGGGGACACCCCTTCCAAAGTTGATGCAGACCAGGAATCTTGCTGGTGTACTTGGAACTTAGGTATTTTTCTTCTGGATACAAAAAGTACCTAACAATACTAGTGGAATGACTCAGTTTAGTGAGATGGCTAAAACTGCGCCACCTCCTTTGAGTTTCTATATGCTTACTAGGTATAGAAGGTATCTAAAGAACAAAAGTAGATACATAAAAAGGCAGTTCAATGAACTTTTATCTTTAAACTTAGCATTGCACTCACACACTTGTCACATCCACTGGGCTGACACACTTCCAAATGAATATGTGTTTTCAGTAAGAAAAAAGACAGCAAGTCAAAAAATGCTCCTTCCCTGACCCCTCCTGCTTAATCATCCCATCCCATCCCATCTCACTTGATATATGCTGACGTCACATTCCTTGGAGAGAAAAAAATAAAACTCGAGCTCCAGCATCTATCTGAAAATTAGGTGAACTATCCAAAATAATAGGTGTTTTCTTCTTTGTCATGATGACTCATGGAAGTTAGACAAATAATTTGACAAATAATTTAACAAAAACCTATTTTAGGTGAATTCCACTGTAGATAAGTAGTTTCTAAGGGTAAAGTTAAACAGTATGAATCTCACTCTGACAAAATTTTTTCATAATACAGTAAACCCTTTCCCCAAATTAACTCTTCATTTCTATATAATAAATAAGCTGCAGAAAGAACTGACTAAAGACTATGTGACAGAGGCTACCAATACAGACACAGGAGGGTAAAGAAGCTGACTAGGTAGGTAGGTAGGTAGGAAGCTGACTTTGGTTCAAATCATCAGCAAAATACCTTCTCCTTTTCTTTTCTTCAACACCCAACTTCCTTTCATAATAACCTCTCACTATTTAACTCCCTTGCTACAATATATGTGCGGGTCTCTAGACTTTGACCTTTTTATAGCAATGATAGACAATCATCCAGAAATAAGTGTGGACAATTAAAATGAAAATTTTGAACAGTGGATGTCTTTTCTAACACAACATCCAAATAATTTCAACGTTCATTCTGTTGCACTTAGTAGTTGAAACAGGCTAATTGCAAAGATAGTAAACTAGGCATGTCTCTCTTATTTTAACATGTCTGTCAGAGAAGTGAGTAGTTTATGAATCTGGTAATTTCTTCTTCATGCTTCTACTGAATAAGCCGCACTGTATATTATTACTATATATTTGGTTCACTATGGACGTACTACCTGAATCGAGAGAAAATTAAACCAAGCAAGTATAAAGTGTCTAGTCTCTGAGGTATGGATTCTGCAGACCGCATGAGAAAGGAAAGTAATCTGAATTCTGCCTACATCTCACTTTAAGGATCTAGAGTGAAGCTGAACCAGAGCTCCCATTGCAGACACTTGGTTTTGCACACTGAGTCAGCTAGTTCTGTAGCCAAGGTGCTCTGCTACTCTTTAGAATGGAAAAGGTTGCAAAAGAGCAAGGATTTGACTCTAGGTTTCCCGCTTTCCAGGCTCACAGGAGGTTACAGGTTCTCCTGGTTCTGATATTTGTCATCAGACATTCTTAACTGAAGTAACATTTCTGATAAAAACTGTTCAACACAGAGCTATTTATGCAAAAAACATCCTATTTTGTTCAACCTGTCAAAGGTACTGTGGCAGGGCCTACTTGAGAAAATTTAATGTCTAGAAAATACAGCTATTTTGCTATGATTAAAGTCCTCTGTAAGAAACAAATACTGAAAAGCTAAGACACAATAAAATGCAGCTTTTAAACACATGAATTGAAATAACTTTACACACTTTAATACTTTAAATACATTTACAGTTCCACTGCAGTGTTCTGCTGGATTGTGGATTACAGCAGCTGTTTAGTTTTAATTTCACCAGTCTGAAACATGACTTTGAATACCCTGGTGAGGTTTCCTTCACAAAAAAATGAGGTGGTATTCATTCATACATAGAGGCCAGTTCCTGAGTTTCCCTAACATCCCTTCCCATTGCATGAACAGACCAAAAATCCTAGAGCTGAACTTCTTGGACAGTGAGTCTGTCTAGATGTGTTCTGAAGTACAAAATGATGCCTTCCAGAATTTTATCAGGTTGATTTCCTCCATAAGGATATATTTTTTTAATAGTTCCTAACCCTACTTGTGGTTTATAACTCTTAAAGTCAAATTTTTGAGCATTCAGACACTGGTAGATGTAATCATAGACTACCAAGCCAATCCTACAGCCATTATAGTTGGTAGCAGCTTTGCCATCAAGTTAAATGAAGACAGGAATCAATCTCTGTATCCAAAAAGCACTAAACTAAGAATAGATTATTATCAGGGATGCAAGAGATATTTTGTTATTGACAATGCAAATTAATTAAACTATTTCTGAACTGGAAATATGAAAGTCACTATACAAATCCTTGTTTCAAATTTAATAATCTATGAGGCGCATGAAACCAGCAAAATAAAAGCAAGTAGGTAGGGAAGTAAATAAATAGACAGCTTTTATGAAAGAAAATTCTTTAGATAAACAAAACTAGCAATATTTCTGCTGTAATACCATATAGATGATAGTGTGTGTTCAAGTTCCACTTGCCACAAATACATTAATCTCTCATCTCCGCATGGGAAGTTTGCTTTCTGTTTTTAGAATCCAAACTGCAAAAATACTGTCATCTTAAGCAAGCGAGGACAGTTTGAATGTGCATAACATTTTTCACGAGTTCTACATTGTGGTCATCTAATTTTAATATTTTCTGGCTGAATTTTGGCACTGAATGAAAGAAGGGGTGTGATACGATGGAAGCTGTGCTGAGAACTCACCTGAGTCTGCCCCGAGGGCGTTCAGATTGCTCTGACATAAAACTTGTGCTGCTGAGGCGTGAGGCACTGCTGGTTCGGGAAATGGCTGACACATCACTGACATCACTATCTGATGATTTGGCAGAGACGTTATCACAACTTCTGTACTGATCTGTTTGTATATTATACTAGAGATCAAGAAAAGAAAGGGTGAGGAGTCTCATCAAAACAGAATGCGTATATTGAGACAACAAATGACCTAAGTATGACAATTCTCTCTAACTGCTTTCAGAGAAACAACTATATTAAATAACATGTTTAAGTCTAGTGAAGAAATCAAGCCTGGTATTTATGGGCTAAGTAAGACACTTGAAATAAATTACAGTATTGGAATTGAAACAGTCTGCTGGGTTTTTTTTAGTACACTAGAACTATAATAATGAAATATTTATGCAGTGGACAGTCATCTTCTCACATGGATACCACCTATTTGGCTGCAGAACCTTTTCTCCATTTTTCAAATATTAAAAAATATACTATGAAATACATGTAGAGAGTTAGTTTGAACAGGACAACTGCATATGTGTCTGAATGATACATAATGCTACAGGAAGCTGACATTGGGGACTGGTTTCAAAACTTAAGTTCTGTGAGAAAAGGGAAAAAGTTACACTTTTTGCTGAAAATATCTGCTTGTATCATGATATTAGAAAACTAGCCAAGCAGAAAGCTAACTCAGCAAAACCAGATTTTGTCTTCAGGCAGATCAGTTCCCTGATCAGTTTCCCTGATGCTTTCACATGTGCACACACGTGAGAACTAGAAGATGACCCAGCAGGAGAAAGATGTGGACGGTGTAGAAGTTATTTCCCTTTTGCTAACAGGAGAAGCTTTGATTAGTTAAAGCCAACTGTGACACCACATCATCTATTGCATAATGCCCTTATAACTCACATCATTCAGACATATATAAAAGGAAGCTGCAATCCTAGCAATGTCACACTTACCTACATCTTCAATCACACAGGCATGCTGATCAAATCATTGTCAGGTTCATGAAGCTAACACCCAGTATCATTAGAGATCGAATCAGCCTTGGCTGGGAAGCGACTAAAAGAGTGCTGTATTTCCCAGGGCACATAATGGGAAAACTATTAACACGTGGGAGGACTAGGCAGTTTTTGACATGACACTAGGGAGTTCATTTTCTGGATGTGCGCTCTGTTAAACTGCAAGTCATAACAGTTTATTTACGAATCATACAAAAAGCTGCGACAGTCTGTGAATATCCCCAGCTCATCCAGCCACTGGGTCAGTAGGCTGAGTGAGTTGGCAAATGTCATGACTTGACTTTAAAAGCCTGGCACACACATGCTTGGGTTTGTGCACATGAATGTATTAGGGCCTCCTGTCCTCCAGTCAGGTTTATCTTCTCTTGCTCCAGTGCCTTTTAGCAACTGTGTTTGAGGTCTGCACAGCACACTTGGAAACCCCTTGGTAAAACACCTAAGATAAGGAAGTTACTGGGAGTAGAAAAGGGGAGGAAATAAAGCGGATATTGAGCACTGACTGTAAATATAGAAATCTGTAGGAGAAATGAAGATTATACAAAGCTAGTGTCCCAGTATGTGTTTCAGGGTTACTCACAGCTCCTGGACAGCCTACATCAAGATTAAAAACGTAATACAATTTATGAATAAAAACCTTATAGTTTGTCCTGAGGAGTGTGCATTGAGCATCATCCGGTGTGAGGCTTGCCCTGGCTAACTGAATAAAAACATCTGTGGGATGGAAAGTTCGGGTTGACTAAAGGTAAGTTTTCAGCTTCAAACACTAACTGAAACTCTGCAGATGATTTCAGAATAGCTTGGAGCATGATGACTTTGAGCTCAAATAACACGTCTAACAGGCATTGACATAGAAACATGCAGCAGAACACTGATTTAATAAACTGAAGAAGTTTACAAAAAATACAGAAGACTCAAGAATTCTAATATTTAAAAATATTTTCAGCTACAGCAAGGATTTATTTGTAGAGTCTCTTTCCAAGTGACTTGGTGTGGCTTATCTGAATATAAATGACCAATGGGGTTAAAACGAGACTATGCTGATATATTTATTCAGATCATCTTTTGCAAATGGCTTGTAGAGTGTGTTAAATAATTTTGCTGCTTGCCTTCTTTCAGATCACAAAATAAATGTTTCTGAAATGGAAACACAAAGCACACTAATTCTTATAAGCTCCATTTCACAGTAATGGAACATTTAAATTTTTTCAGATGACATTTTTCTTCTAAAGTCTAAAAAAACAAAAGCAAAAATAAAAGCTATGAAAACTTTTTATTTAGTCTAAACATAAATGTTCAGAGGCTGCTTTCCAGTTTAAGTTAACCTGCTCCACACCTGAGATAGCCTTGAAATTTTATGCAGAATTCCCATAGAATTCCTTATGAATCCTTTAAGCTTTCTTGAAATGAGACATCTAAAAATATGAAAAGCATCTGAACACATGGAATGTTCTGGCTTTCTACTGAACTGCAATCTGCAAAAGAAATCATGATGCTATTAAACAAAAAATTTCTGTTCCTTTCAGTGAAGTAGGGATTTCACCATTCCTATATATTTAAACCTTATCTAGAAGTTATCCCTCCACAAGTGAGGTTTCTAAAATACTTTCTTTAAAATATAACTATGCAACACTCTCACATACATTTGCTCTTTTTTTATGCATAGTAACAGAGTGCCTCAGAAATAACTTCATAATTTATTTGTGTTTGCCGAAGACCATCTGACTTCCCTGCTCTGTCATTATGATGCTTAGTTACTTTTTCTCCTCACCAAAAAGTCCACATTCTGTTCACGGCCCTTCATTTTAGAGTCCATACAGTGAATCTGGAGTGGTAGATGAAGATTTGTGTGGTCCCTGAGCAAACACGACATGCTGGTGGAGAAGGCTGACACAATCTGAGCTCTCCCATCAAGGCAACCTTCAAGGCCAGATGCGGTGGCTTCCTTTGTCCTGCTGGAAGCCTTTCTTCTTCCTACGTGTTGAGGGAGGTACGGGCTGCTGGCCTTTGTCCCAAGCCGCACCTGAATTTGGCTGTTGATTTTGCACTCAATTTATTTTTCAGCTGCAAAATAACAACGTTTAACACAGTGGACTACATATGTGCTGCGGGGCAGTGGGAAACCCTCAGTTTCACTCTTATTGAATTCACTCCATCTTTCCCGGGTAGGCTACGTGAACTCGAAAAGATGGGGAGGAGAGAGAAAAAAAGCATCGAGCTTTCTGGGAGAGACGTCTGGGATACTGGAAGTCAGAAGTCCCAGCTTGTGTACCAGTGACTGTTTAGGGACTCGGCCTCCTTGAATGATTGCTCAGTACCAATACAAAACCATTTATTGCCACAGGATCTTCAGGCCAGCTATCATCCCCTGTTAAGTGGGGGCTCTGCCTTGCTCCCTGCAGTCCAGCAGCCTGTACAAAATGAAATTGCTTTGTAAATACCAGACTGGTTTAACAGGCACTCTTTCAAATGTTGGTGAAGAGAGAATTTTACAGTGAGGTGGAAGAAAAGAAGAAAACTGAATCCATGTCTTCTAGTAGCCTTAGTATTCCAATCAGAGCTACTGCATAAAACATGGAATATCCCTTCCTAAATGAGATTTTCATGTCATGGTTGAGCTTTTACTAATCTTTTGTAGTGTATGCTAAGGCTGTGATCCCCAAGAAACTGAAAATCCTCCCCTTCACAGAAATAGAGATTACCACGAAAAGGGGTGATGTTGAAAGTTAATGCCGAGTGCTACAGCATTACTCCTTCTTCCAGATGTAGCTCCTCCTTCCTATAGCTGCTGCGTTTACTGAATTCACTGTTCTCTACAGAAGGCACACAATTTTTCCTACTTATTCCTTAACTATCCCTTTTCCATACAATCTGATAATCACTCATCTTGCCTAACAGTTAAATAAAATTAAATCAATTTTTAAGTTAACTTTTTTTTCCCCCTCAAGTACAGACAAAAGTAAATAGTATTCTTTTGAAAAACAGTGAACATGAAAAGAAAAATATTCTGCAATACACTTGAATTTATCAATCAGAAGAAAAATGTTATGGGCTAAGATCCACCTATTCAGTATCTGCATTAAAGTAATGCCTGCAGGTTTACAACCAGGCTCAAAAGTAATAAGATACAGTCCTGCTCACCTAGAAGACTGCTACTCTTAATAACTCTCCATGTATTTGTAATAAATTTCCGTATCACATTGTATTTAAATATTATATATTTTTGCAGCTTCAAAGCAAAGTGAATTTTCAATGCAATCACTTCTCTTTCACCTCAGCATCTTACAGAGTTAAAGCTTATGTAACATTGCTATTCCGAGTGCACTGTTTATCACATTAGGAGAGTTGCTGAACTTTGCAGCAACTTTGATAGCAATTATTAAATAGTAGGTCTGGGTTTTTTAAACAAATAGCAGCTAGCTTTAAAACTGCAAACTATCTGCACTCTCTGCTGCTGCATTACAAAGATAAAAGTTTTTCCAGTATAACTATCTGAAATATAAACAGCTGAAATGCAGTTCTTCCACTCACTTTACCACCTGTGGAGTTGCTGCTGTGTCTAAGCCAGCAAATGGAGAAAAAAGGGGTGTGATGAACTGCAGATGTGTTAACATCAATGGAAGAAGCACAGATGTAAACCATAAAAGTGTACTTCACGTATACTTTTACAGTTCCTCAGTGATTAACAATGTTAGCAATTTTACTGATTATAAGGCACATTTTAGAAGTCATTTACTAGTCCATTATAATTTTATTATCAAGTATCTGTATTTCTAGACTTGGCTCCCAAAACTATGGAACAGTAGTTCAGAGCTTTGAAAATGGAAGGAGTGTCCCCTCCTTTGACTACAAAACAAGCTTCAGGCGACCAACCTCTGAAAATACGTGCCTCATTAAGTGCTTAAAATGAGAAAATTAAATGGGGATTACAAAGAGGATATCAAAATGAGGAAAGAGAAATCCAGAGTCATGCACAAAGCACATGTTTTATGACTGTTCACAGAGGGCTCCATCAAATGCTGCTGGGGTTCACAGCCCAGCAGTTGGCACCTTGGGGTGTCCAGGCCTTATCTGACACTCACCAGAGTCTGGGTCTTAGGAGCTTCTCCTGTGATGGTCCAGAGCTCACTAAGCTCCGGTGATTCTAAGTAACTCTTCCCGTAATTGTATCCAACCCAACTACTGCAAACACCACTCAAATTCTGAACACAAAGCAGTAAAAATGATCAAGTCAGACCATGGAAAAGAGCAGTGAAGCCCAGATTGAGTTAATGGACCCAACTCATAGGGTTGTGAAACCCTACAAGCACTGGAGTGACTGTCATATCAATATTACATATAGCAAATGTTTTTGTTTTTTTTCTTGAATGTGGATAGAAGGGAATCAAAATAAGATACTAATCATACTGATATTCAGAGCATTTTCTATACATAACCCTAAGTTTCTTGCCCAGCATCCCATAAAATTTAGCATAATTAGTCTCCTGTTATTCCAAGTCTCATATCCAGCCCTTCCTTTTGGACATTAACTATCAAGTTAAATCCAGAGTGCCACTGAACAAATGCCATGATTACACTTTTATGCTAAATTCTTTCCAAGCACATACAGTCTTAACTGAGTCAGTAGTGCATCTAAACATAGAGTGATGTCCTTTGAAGTATACATTACGATGCTCTAATCAGTAACTCTCTTGAATAAACAGACCTCCCCAAAAAATGTGATGCACATTCTCCGGAAAGCTGGAGAAGAGGCAGCACGTTGTTTGTGTTCTGTGTGTGGCATCTGGAATAGAAAAACTTAACTGTATTTTGAATTAAAAGCCTAATTAAGATGTACCCTCATTTATATCTATGCAAATCCAGAATTATGCTACCGAAGTGTTTTGATTCTCTCAAACATTGCAACAGCCGAACTATGTGCACATTAGCCACTACAGCCTTACCAAAATACAAGCAAGAGGGCAGACGCTTAAAGCTCTTCTTCAAACCATTGTGACAAATATGCAGAGGTTTGTTGTTGGAGAGGAGTATTTATTCATCTAGCTTTTTAGAATTTGACCGTTTCATGTAAATTATGGAGACTTTCCACTGGAACTGGTGAAAATAAGGGTGTGAGCTCTGTGAAGGTCTCAAAACAATTAGAGGGAAACAGCCATCAAGACCTATACAAACGTAGAGTAGACTGTTATCTGTTCAAAATCATAGAATCATAAAATGGCCTAGGCTGGAAGGGACCTTAGAGATCATTTTAATCCAGCCTCCCTGTCGCCAGGGACACCACCTCTCAACTAGATCAGGTATCACGTGGGGAATGTCCATTAACGGATGTTTAAAACACAGATGTTTAAAAATGTTCATATACTAATTTGCATGGTACGTGCTTGAAAAACCAGTGCTTGCTTACTGAGCCTAGGAGATTGAGAAAGGTAGAAAGTACAAAAATTGAAGAAATGCACCAGAAATGCACTGGATGTTGCAAAGACCATGTTATGGTATATCTGAAAAAAAAGTCTTGTTTTAATATGAAAGAAAACATATTTAAATAAGGAATTAATTTTACATACACATAAATATTGCAAAGGAGATCCAGTCCATACTGAAGGAAAATTCTTTAGAGGTTGAGACAATTTTCTATGTAATAAACCAAGCATATTTGCAAATGCTAAAAGAGTGGCAGAATCAAATCCATGTGAGCTGTTTGTTCTGAAAAGGAGGAAGGAGTATTTTTCTCATAGTGCAGCACAGTCTATTTTCTCTAATAAATATAAACACTTACTTTCTGAAGCAGTGGAAAAACTCTGCTACTTGGGAAAGAAGGAAGAATTTCTATTAAAGGGGGACAAACTCTGCTTGCAGTTGCCATATTTTAGCAGCCATTTAACATTTCTTTCTCACTATTCCAAAATGTCTGTTAGACCACCGAACATTTTCTTCTTATTATTTCAATTCTTGTTCCCATAGGTTTCAAAAACATCTCACAGATTTGAGCATCGGAAATTAGGTAGTCATAAGTCCTCAGAAGTCTCAGTCATCAGTTTTATTGCATAACCTGATAGGAGTTACTACTTTTTCATTACAGCTGTCTAAATCTTCATCTGTCTGGTTTATTTTCATGACTCTTTCAATATCTGAGGTTAAAGAAAGTCAGTAGCAAAAGGTTTGCTTTAGTAACATTTTTAAAGTGGTGACTATCGCCATTATGACGTGAAGCAAACCTCTGCATCACTGAATATAGTACAGTGTTAGAACGTTCCAGTATTTGTTCTCAGCACTTAAAAATCTACTAAAGATTTGACCATCCAATCTAGGAGTACACCATTACCATGCAGAAAACACATGAAAAGTTAAAGACTTTTGGATTTAAATTCCAAGAAAACTAACTCATTCTCCTTACTGCTGTCTTTGCATGGAAAGGAATGTATGTCCATCAGGACACTGGGTACTCCAAGAGTATTTTTCTTATAATAGCAGACAGAGAACCTGCTTCCTCAAAGTTGCGGGCATACTTTTTTTAAAAAAAAAGTATGAATAAAACATTTTTTCAACAAAGTTCTTTCATTTAGCACTCATCATGCTGTGATTTCAATTTTGATTTTATTTCTACATGTATTTAAAGACTAAAGATGATACTAGAAAACTCTAGGTACTAGAGGATAAGAAAAAATCATAACATTGCAGGCTGATATTTTCCAATAACTATTTAACCATATATTGGATTAACATTAATCCAATAAGAAAAATATATTGAGGAGAAAAATAAAGCTTACGAGAAATATTAAACAGTCAGGATTAAAAAACATGTTTCATAATGAAAAAATGTGAACATTTGAATCATTCTGTAAGCACAGTTAATCTAAATCAGAAAACTGGCCATTGACTATGAACAAAGGTTTACATTTGGTCACCTTGGACAAAGTCCTCAGATGACACATTACCTTCCTCTCCTGAAAACTTTATCAAACCCATTTTAACTATTTATTGACATGGTAACTGGTTGGGAAGTACCACAGAGACACACTGCATCTCACCCTCTTGTCCTGAGTTGACCTCTTGTGAAGGTAACAATATCAAATAAGCTGTTTTAATTATTACGTAAATTCTGGCTTCTGACATGGTCTCACTGGAAATCTCCATCCCAGTTGCTGCGTTTTTTAAATGTCATTGACATCCCACAGTTTGTCAGTTAAGGACCTAAAGCTCTGTTTCTCTTATTTCTCTTCCCTTTTTCTGAACTGTTTTATTTAAGTCATAGTTTGTGGTGAGGTGGCCTCACTTAAGAAACATCTTTATTAAAGCTGTCTCTGAATTTAACTAAAATGAGGTCTTGAATAAATCTTTAAAATCCGTTAGATGTTATAAGTCAGATATCCAATTGCCTATTTACCCATTTCTAAGTAAATTTCTGACTTTTTTTTTTGAATACCTCACTTAGTCGTTATGTTAGCCTGTGCTTCCAGGAGCAAGCACTGATCCTGCAAAACACAGGGAAATGACCCTGGAGGGGCAGGGGCAGAAAGTCCAGTGCCTGTGCTACTGCAACACAAGCCAGAAGCGTTCTGATGTCTGCAGCTCTTGAGAGTTTGACAATGTTTGGTGGTTTATCTATAGCACCAATTCACAAATGGAAAGTCCACGTCTTTTAAAATGTAGAAATAAAAATATAAGCATTTAGTTCTCACTGAGGTGAAGAAATCCTTCACAATGGGGCTCTTTAAGCACGAAAGTCTAAATTAATAAAAGCTATGATTTACTTCCAGCTACCGTTATTCTGAGACCTTATTTTTAATGCACACAGTTGCTATGTATGTCTTTGAATCTTTTAGTGGACTTTTATATTCATGCTGCCGTCCTGTGGCCGTTGATTGAAAGCACGTAACTCAACGGCACCAGAAGCAGGGAGCTGCAGGAATGGTTCTCCCCCAACTGAATTACTGCTGGTTTTGTCTCTGCCTTTTAATTTGCCTACACCAACACAGTTCTAAAAGGAAACACAGAAATTAACTAAACGCTTCCCCTCCTGACTTCTGCAAATGTTCCCCCTCCTTTAGACGTCACAAGGCAAAATGTCTTTAGCAGAAAATTCAGCTCCAGCCCCTCACGGCTTGACTTATAAGTGGCAGTGCAGGCGTGTGAGACGTTTTCAGCAGTTTTCTCAGAAGCCTATATAGTTTTACACTTACAAAGTTGTGGGATATAATTTTCGCCTTAACAAGAAGAAAAAAGGTCCCTCTATGTAACTTCATTAATGTAATTTCATGTACACTTAATTATCAGCAGATTCCTTAAGGCTTTTATTAGAAAATAAGATCAAAGTAATCAGTATGTATTTCAATAAAGGAAATACTTCACCTATGACATTATTAAGGTGCAAGAAGATTACACAAATATGAGAACAGCTGCATGGGATTGACTCTAATTCTAGCTAGTTCTCTACATGTCAGACAACAGCAAGGGCCTGGAGAAGAATAAAAGAGTAGGGCCAACATACCATGACACTTCCATGGCCCACTTTTCCAGCCTCCAGGGATCTGCAGTCCAGGGACTTCCTAAGCTAGAGGTGACATGGCTTTGTTTACCAGCTCTTGAAGGACCTTTCTTCCCTGAATTAGTTTTGAAGTGTTTGGTTTTTCCAGATTCATTCTAGGTGACATCAACAACTAACGCACATCAGATGGGGGTAAAATTGATGTTACAAAGCTATTACCTAAAGACATTTCTGTCAGGCTTTATAACACAGTGTTCTGAGGGTTATATAATATTTAAAATAAACAAATTTAAGCCTTCAATTTTCAAGCCAAAATATTATTTCAGTACTACTGACTTTACCTTGGTATATTGCTCACGCTCATGTTCTTGGCTAGAACCAGACCCTGATGTCTGATTATAACGGTGCACTTTCATTTTCATCTGTCTTGTTCGCTCCTCCACTACTAAGCTTGCTGCAAAAACACACAATGAAAATCAATTAAAAATGGCAAAAACTGATTGAAAAAAACAAACGGTTTAGCAACAATTTCAGCTTATTTCCATCTCAACGAAACAAAGAAAGGTACAAACATGTAGAACAAGCAGGGTGTAAACACAGAACAAAGGAACACTAATGTCAAGAATTCAACCACTTCCATTGTGAGAGTCTTTACCTGCAAATGGGCAGACATCCCAATTTCCTATACATAATCAAGATGGTGCAACTGATATGAAAAGAGTGAAATAATTTAGCTGATAGGCTGAACTGTAAACCTGTTAAGTATTCTGGATGCAGGGGACATAAATCCATGATCATCTAACCATGTATTACATTAAATGTAGAAAATATTACAGTAGCATTCCAAGAACTAATGCATTAAACAGGTATTCAAATTTATTTTTAAAGTAATTAATTCCTACTACTATCTTAAAACATAACTGCTCACCATAGCTAAAGTTCTCCATTCAACAAGCCATAGTAAAAAGTACAGTAATTTTTTTATAAGTTCTTTAAAAGCACTACTTTGCTCTCTAATGTTCACTTCTATTTCAAAGAAATCATTTGTTCTTATGTTTTCAACTTCTCTACAAAAGTGTTTAAAAAAGAAATCTAATCTTATAGCTTCAAGAAGCTGTAGTGCTGTAAAGAGCATGTTCTTCAATTTGAACATGCTTTGACAATTAATATTGGCTGCGTTTGCCACAAGATGAACTTGCACTAACAGAAAGCAACGTGTGAAAGACTCCAGGCTAAGGCTCCTTAAAATAAGTTATCCTTTGTGGTAGTGGATAATTTTCAGAGGGAACTATATATTCTGCCATTCTTAAACGTGGTAATGCTACAAATGCAAAGGAATACCAATAAAAACAACACCTTGAAAACTGGTACTTTTTAACAGTTCTAGAACTAGACTCAGTTATTCTTCAATAACCATCCTGAATCATGAGCACTCACTATGTTCATTGTGTTTTAACAGGTTATAACATTCCAGAACAACTTTTTTTAGTTGGAATCTTTTGTGTAGTTGCAAATCAAAGACTAGCATTTTACTTGGGGAAACCTCTGCAAAACCTTCTAGGTCAACCATGATTGACTCTCTCCAAAACAATTAGTTTTAAAAGTCAAAATTTTTGTAAACAGCCCCTCCCAAGACCAGTGACAGGAGAGAGAAAATTTAAAAGGTGCATGGAATCAATTTTTAATCACAAAACACAGAGAATTTTAAATTAATGAAAAATAAGTAATCTGTCATGTTGTTTGAAGATCAGTATTCTGAATCAAGAGCTACCAGAGTTCTCATATGTGAGCTTTATGCTGTGGGATTCTTTACACCTCTATTTTTTGTCTGTGCTTTGCAGGCAGAAAGATAGGAGGGGAGGGAAAAAAAAAAAAGCAGTACACTCAGGACTGGATATTTTAGACTGTGCGTCACGATTGTGTGTGCATGCACCATCCGCAATTTCTTTGTGGAAATGATGGAATGTGAGCTGGTTGGGCTTGAAAAAGTATACAAAGGCTAGTGAAATATATATTGTCATCATGTCCTCCTTCCACATTTCTTATTTAAAAATAAGAAAATTAAACACAGGAAATTACATTGAAATTCTGTTACAGTTGCAAATTTAAGGCATAAAATAAAGTTATCATTGTAATCTTCAATCTCCCACACGCAGAGGGTCCAATATAGGAAATTCTGCACATGCAGAACATCACACTGGGCCCAGTGATTATTCCAGATGACTAATTATGTCGGTAAATGTGTACCTTAATTGCAATGAGTCCAGTTCCACCATCAGATATGCAGGCACAGCTCCAATTACTTCAATGGAAGTTGCATGGAGGTATCTGAAGGCAAAATTGAGCACTTTAGGTGAAATTTTTAAAGATGGCCTCTTATTTTAAGGACAGGTATGAAAGGATTAAGATATATCAATTAGTGATTGCAGTAAAAAAATCAGATATCTTAATCCTATCATACATGCATGAAATAGATCGAGGATATAAAATCAGAGGGAAAATTGAGACCCCTTTAAAAATTTAGCCATATATGTGTATGGTGCACAGATTAAAGTTACTCTAAAAATAACCCTTTTATTGTGTGACTTTTAGGTGTTTCACTCTGCCAACTTTATGTTATACTAAATAGTTTATATGATAAAATGTTGTTCTGTATTACTTATAATACATAAGAAAGAATATTCTACTATGTAATGAGATGCTACTTCAGTGGCTATATGTGAAAATTACTGCGGTTGAGGCTAGGTAAATATTCAACATTAACTCTGTAATTCTTGATCTTTGTTATGTTTAAATTCTTAACCTTAACAACATGCTTATGTTCTGATTTTCATTGTTAGATATCATTACACAAAATAACATGCGAACAATTAATGGGGACCATGAAGTAAATCTAAATTCTCTAACAAATAAATTTGGTTTTATGCATGGAGTAATATTTAATTCAACAGCAGTTAGCTGTTACTGTGTGTCTAGACTAGCAACTCTGTGAAATGTAAGTCTGGTCTAGAAAACAGAACTGTGTTCTTTCCACCTTTGTTTACCTTGCACATCTGAGTGTACATTTTATCTAGCTCAGTTCTGTGATGCAAAATTGCATCTGCCTGACAAGTAGCTTGGTATACTCTTTACATGTTAATAACAAGAAGGAGAAAAGAATCTAACACAGAGGCAAAAGCACATTAGCAGAAGCTCTAACAACCATAGGTAACACCATCATAACAAACACATTACTTTCTTGGAACACAGCTGGTTACCACAGGTAACAAAATTTGACATAAACAATACTTTGAGAACTTAACCTTCCTCTTAGAAAAATATGGATCTACTTTCTTCCAGGACATCAATATTTAAAGAGTGCTTTTCCTGGAGCTCTTGAGATGTAGGACTACACAGTAATTTACAGATTGAAGCACTGTAATCTCAAGAACTTTAAATTCTACAGTGGCCCTAGTATTCAAAATACGGATCTTTACCATAAGCGTCTCAAAGCAGTGGTACAACTACTATTAATGTCTGTTGTGTCCACATGTTACTCTCTTTGGTGTCAGAAGCCATGCTTCAAAGAGCTATGACTCTCGTCTTTTCAAGAGCTGCTGATACAGATGTGAGATCAATCTGCATAAGGAGTAAATGAAAGAGAACTCCTTGAGCAGGCTGCTTACATAAGGGGCACAAGTTTAGAGCTAAAGGTTTTACTACTGCTAAACCACGTGAAGGTTGTAGAACAACGATTTATATAAACAATCAAGCCATGCAGGAGAGAAAAGACAGACATACGAATGGAATCAAAATGTTATACTTCAATTCCATTAATATATTTATAAACCAGTCTGACTCCTGGCATCCCAGGTGTTCTGGCTCTGGCTGGGATGGAGGTAGTTTTCCTCACAACAGCCTGTATGGTGCTGAGATTTAGATTTGTGACCAAAAGTGTTGATAACGCAACAATGTCTTGGCAATTGCCGAGCAGTGCTTCCACAGCACCAAGGCATTCTCTGTTTCTCACACCACCTCCGCTCCCTCAGCAAGTAGGCTGAAGATTGCGAGGGGAAACAGCTGGGATAGCAGTCCTCAACTGACCAAAAGGACATTCCATACCGTAGAGCATCATCCTCACCATCATCACCAACTGTGGGTAGTCTTTCCAAGGTAGCTGTTGTTCAGAGACTGGCTGGGAATTTGTCTGCTGGTGGAAGGTGGTGGGTGATTGCCATTGCACCTTTTTATGGTGGGGTTTGTGCTTTTTTTTTTTTCTTTTTTTCTTAATTTTTCCCCTTCACTTATTAAACTGTCTTTGTCTTACGCCATAAGTTTTTACTCATTGTTGCTCTTACAATTCTCCCTCCCATCTGACCATGGAAAGAGAGTGAGTAGCTGGTGGGTACCTAATTGCTGGCTTGGACAAACCCACAACACCAAGCTACCAAGAATTAACTGCCCAATGTAGTTCTGAATGGTCTTCCATCAAAGAAACAAAAGTTCCCTCAGCTGTTACTTAGTTTATGATTCAACTCATTGCTAAGTGCCATCTGGGATTCAAAGGAAGAAGACATGGTCAATAGAGATTATCATCTCCCACCCCATATGCTAGCAGCTCCATCAGCTCCTCCTGGGTCTCTTCCTCACATAATTACATAAAATACTTTTGTGAAGACAGTGCATCCTGTACTGTAATTCATAACAGATCATACAGGATTCTAAATATGCTACATGATGGAAGTACAACTAAACATCTGGAAATCCAGTCTTTGAAGAGGTGATCATGGTATTAGTAAATGAACAATTTAACATATGCACATAATGGAAGGGTTAGTTTTTTACTCATAAAACAATTAAAAAACTTGCTTATATTTCTTGTGATAAAAGAAGGTTGGATTAACATTAAAGGCTGTTCTTGGTACATTTCCATCACAAGGAAATCATTGGGGTTTGTTTATTGACAAATATGCTCGTGTCCTTTGACTGTCTAAAATATGCAAGTCCATAACATGATATTTAAAGGAGGTAGGTAATAAATCTAAAAAAAAAAAAAGCTGCAGTTCTCATTTGCAGCCTGCAATTTACCCTCAAAGAAAATTAGGACCAGCTAACATTTTTTTTTCTTAAAGGAGATGGCAGTTTCTTAATTTTTCTAAGACATTATCTGTTTACTAAGAATTTATGTACTAGTCATGCTCTGTTTAATATGTCAGCACTATGGTAAGGTTAACAGAGTTACATCTGATGTGTATTAACTAGCTGAGAGCCCTCATCTTTATTTTCACCCTCAGAAGAAAACTAGTATAGGTGCATTTCAAACCATGTCTGCTGTTTAACCATTGGAGAAGTTAGACCTGGCCAGAATCTTAACTGTTCAGAATATGTGCTATCTTTTCAGTTATGTACAGAAAACCAGAACCATAATAAATATAGTATACTAGCATATAAAATATAGTAGGGCAGATGGCCTTT